AAAAAAAAAAAAAAAAAAAAAAAAAAGAATTTGATCCAGCGGAGTGGTCCTGGAAACCTAAGATGGGTTGCAGAAACAGAAACTCCATTCCCATCACTGATTACTGACTACTCGTAAAGATAAAAGACCCCCAACCAGCAATTTCGCAAGGAACTAAGTTCAAAATCAGTACAGACAAAGTCCTGCGTTCTAACTTTTGGTCTAAGTCTGGATTCAGGGGTGAAAGGTCCTGTCTTCTGCCCTAGAGGGGTCTGAGAAAAGTCCTCGCATCAAAGCGTACAGGGTCGAAAAAGAAGCGGCCTGTGCCCTCATGCGAGGTAGTTGACTTCAGGAAAATCAGGAGTCAGGCCCAACTCGGCAAAAGCATGGAAGGAGTCAGAGATTTCTCTGGAGTCAACCATGGGCAGAGAGATCTGATGCATAATCAAAGGCTCTGTACTCTCTAAGAAGTTCCTAAGGCCTATGGTGTCCAGGTGCACATTGACCAACAGCAAATCTGGGCCATCCAGATTGAGAAATCCCCACAGTTCGAGGAGGCAACCTGAGGCAGGCCAATACCAGTCAACTCTACAAAACAGTTGCCTGCCCCAGTCAGCGGATTTGCTCTGGCACGCACTGCTGGAGCTGGATGCTGCTCCTCCACACAGCGCTGGAGAAAGCCAGGGCAGGTTGGTGCCAAGGAAGGCGAAGTCAGCACCAGCCAGGGAAGAAGAGAGAGGCAGTAGCCATAGCTAGGGAGAGCGCCTGAGCGGCATATTGTAGGAGAGATATAAGGTGAGGGAGAGGGTGATCAGGAGTTGTGAGATGATATGTGTGTGTGTGTGTGTGTGTGTGTGTGTGTGAGAGAGAGAGAGAGAGAGAGAGAGAAGGCAGGCGCCAACCTCCATAGCCAAGCTTTGTCGCAGGAGGTTGGGTGGACTATCTGGCCCAAGCTTTGTCGCGGGAGGTTGGGTGCACCTATCTGGCACCTGCAGAGAGACATTGAAAGGAAAGGAGAGAATGCGGAGAAGTGGGCGTGAAGTTTCCAAAATTTCCTTCATCGACTTTCATGTTTCTCAATGTTTTCCCCACTCTGTCTTCTTTCGATACCGGAACAATCTCACACGAGCTACCAGCTAAGCACCCAGGAAGTCACTTCTTATATTGTGTGGTACAAGTTGGATGCTGACAGTTATGGGTTCTCAGCTCACCTAACCCCACAAGGTGGATACTTCCCCCTTGGGGTTCAGCCTACCCCCCTAGGGTTGAACCTAACCCACAGTGCTGGATGGGAGGGAGAGCACCCCACCAAGAGCAACCAGGGGGGCAAGCGTGACTATCTAGGCTGGGGAACCAGAAGTGTGCCACAGGGGGTCGTGGGGAGTTGAATGGACGACGTGGGGAATCTACCCACGACCTCCTCAATGCCACTTATCTGCTCCACCAACTGAGCTACACCACTGGTGCGGGCTTGTTTCCTTTTTGGTTTTTGAGGCTCTGAAAAATTTTGCTCGCTGTTTCGTCTGTCATTCCAGGTATGCAAATGCATTTCAGACCTCGTGAAGCGGAAGCTAGCTAGGGGCGAGGGTATTTCACTGGATGTTCTAGGCACGTCAAATGAGTTCCCAAGCCCGCAGGTGAGCATAGAGCATCCACAGGATTGTTGTTCATCACAGCTGAAAAAGTTAAAAAAACATGATGCTGTCCACAAATTTCACACCAGGCCCACCGGATTATGTTGGAGGATCTGCAGTTTGTATGGAACTTGTCAAGAACTACAGACCAGTTATTTTTCCAGGCATCGAACATGCAGCCCTTCATACCCCTATGGTGATTCTGAATTTATGGACTATGTTTTGCACAAGTAGTTACACAGGGACCCCCACTTTTCAGCCCATATGTTAACCCCTCAAGCACTGAAAACAGTGAGAACTTTGGGAATAATTTTTTCAATTTTTTTCTTTCCCTGCTCTGTTTTATTTGTGGTCAAGGTTTGCATGTGTCAAGTTTGGTGTTTGTTGGAGCCTCGGAGACGACTGTTTTGGCAAGCCCTGAAAATCCTGAAAATCAGAAAATCTTGAAAAACTTGAGAGGGTAAATTACTGAGTTTTGCATGAAAATACATTTTTGCCTTTAGGGTCCAGGATCTTTTGGTCGTTTTTTTCTCTGCTTTGTTTTTGTTGTTCATTTATTTCTTGTCCACTATGGATTGGTGACAAGTTCCATTTCAATCAAAGGTGCGGGATTTTTGTTATAAAGACCATGAAAAACCTCTGAAGTTTGAGGGCTCTGTTGACCGCTTCTCATGTTCTGAGGCTGCAGATATATTCAATATTGGTTAGATGGCCAGGCTAGTAGGCCAGTTCTGCAGTGACTTTGAGGCCTCATCCATGTTGACCTCACACATTCACACATTCTGACCCCTCACCCTTTGCGAAGAATAAGGGACAAATGACATTTTGGTAGCCAGCTTGTGGTTGCTTGATGTGAACACAATGTGCTATCAACCTAGACTACCAGAGGTCCAGAGTGACTCGGGACTGATTGTCCTACCTGGCAAAAAAAGTGCCGAACCACACAAACGCGGCCAACCTTGCACTTTCTATTGTAATGTCTTTCTATACTTTTTCATTATGGATGGTTTGTTATGATTTGTGGACGAAATGAGACAGAGAGAATTTGGGGTGCATTAACAACACACAAAGAGGTTGAGTTATCAACCTCTCTCTCTCTCTCTCTCTCTCTCTCTCTCTCTCTCTCTCTCTCACACATTTTTAATTTTGTAAAGAATTGTGATGGGACCCTGAGGCAAAAGTTTCTCAATTAATTTTTCTGCATCAGGTTTTTTTTTTTTTTTTTTTTTGTTTTTTTGTTTTGCTGGGACCTTCCCTGGTCCTTGCACGGGCATCCCCCACCCTGTCTCTTATACACATCTAGATGTGTATAAGAGACAGCGCGTATACGACCTGCTTTTGCCTACGCGCGTCACTACGGATGCGTCCGGCTATGGCATTGGTGTCGTCCTCGAGCAACACGATGGCGTGGACT